CCGAAGACTACAAAATGCCCTGTTGGTAGACTGATGAATTCGAGGCGAGAATCCTTGAAGACAGATATCAAATAAGAACCTACCAAAGAAGCAGAACCCAAGAAGAGCGGGAAGAAGCAAGGGACACCTACAAGCAAGGAAAAATGAAACTAAAACAGATGATCAGTAAATCGAAGAAAAATGCATGGAAAAGTATGTGCAACGAACTGGAAAATGACATCTGCGGCCAGGCATATAGAATAGTCAAAAACCAATTACAACAGCCAAACCCTAAAACAAGACCAGAGGAAAAAATAGAAATATTCCAAAGTCTTTTCATGCCTCCTGGAAGGCAAAAGAGATACAATAAAGGGGAAAACGATGAAGAGAATGATCGTACCTCTTTCACGAGAGAAGAAATCCTTGACGCAACTGATAAATTAAAGTAAAAAAAAGCACCAGGTCCTGACAGCATAACCCTGGAAACTATAAAACACCTAATAAGGGAGAATATAGAGTACTATAACGAACTATACAATAATTTAAGTCAAACCCTTTTTTGTCGGAATGGAAAAGGGCAAAACTTATTCTCATTGAAAAACAAAAAAAAACAATAACAGAATAGACAGGCCTATATGCCTAATAAATGCAGTCGCGAAGGTCTTCGAAAACTTGATTAAAACGAGGCTATTAAAAGAGATAGAAGAAAAAGGGGGCTTCAGCCCTAACCAATTCGGATTTACAAAAGGTATATCCACTGTTCATGCTGTCGACAAGATAAATAAACGTAGTGTCACAGACACGAGGAATGTATCACGCGCTGATCCTCATAGATGTTAAAAATGCATTTAACACTGCCTCGTGGCCAATAATTATAAATAATCTTATAAGAAAAGGGATCAGCCCCAATATTATTAAGATAATTGTGTCATACCTAAAAAACCGGATAATTATAGTAGACAAGGGTATTGAGGAAAAAATCGGTGGAGGCGTTCCACAGGGGTCTGTACTGGGCCCCAGTTTATGGAATGTCTTATACGACGGAGTCATGAGATTAGAACCCCCAGATGGCGTTGAACTCAAATGTTACGCGGACGACCTAGCTATACTAGTTTCTGCAAGGGACCACAAAGAGCTGATGCTGAAAGCCGATGAGGCACTGCACACCGTATGGTGCTGGATGCTGGCCAACAAGCTGGAAATAGCCCCTGAAAAGACGGAAGCTATAATACTAAGCAACCGATGGCAGAAATACATCAAATTCAACATAGGCGGACAAAGTTTTGAACCTAAAGCTACAGTAAAGTATTTAGGTATGACACTAGACAGGACACTACAATTCGGCAAGCACGTGGCGAACGCTTGTACAAAGGCAAATAAGGTGATAAAGGCTATAAACCCCATATTACCGAACATAGGAGGACCCTCGGCCAAAAAACGAAGAACACTGGCAATGGCCGTACAATCGGTGGTCCTATACGGCGCACCGATATGGCAGAAGGCTACAAGTTTTAAAAAACATCTACAAAAACTAAGTACAACACAAAGATTAATGGCGCTGCGAGTTTGTAGTGCTTATTGCACGGTATCCACAAAGGCAGCACAGGTCCTATCAGGACTAACGCCACTCCTCTTGCTGGCAAGTTAAAGAAAAAGATTATTTATAAATGGAGCTGGGGCAGAGATTGACAAAGCGATAGAACAAGAGACAACTCTAAGAATGTGGCAACAGGAATGGGACAACGCTGTGAATGTGGGGGTTTTGGGGATATTGACCATATATTTTTGGAGTGTCCGATCAACCAGACGGGAATACCTACCTTTATGACAAAATACATAGGAGGACAGTGCATAGACATTTAACATGGCCATAGTCTTAAAAAAAACAGACAACAATCTAATGGATTTAATCCTGAGATTTATAGACAACAATCTAATTGATTTAATCCTGAGATTTATAAACATAAATAAAATACAGATATGGGCAAATTTTCGTTAAATGTACATTTGCTGTCCCCAGCTAATTTTATTTTTATTTTTGACCTTTGTTGATAAGTTTTTGTATTTATTATATTTAAATACCCCCTTCCTGGTAGGACCCATCTTTATTTTTTTTAATTACTTGTGTGTTTCTATATATGGCAGAAAAACTAGGTGAAATGTCCTGTAACCTAACTGTCCCCAGAGGTGATTTTTTAATTTAAATTATTATATTCTTTTTTTTTGCAGCTTTCTTCTGAAAAAAATAATTATTTTTGAACAATTGAAAGCTGCAAAAAAAAATATGTCTTTTTCCTAACGTCTTCTATGCTGACTGCTTCAAAATAGAGACACGAGATAGAGATACTAGCGTTTTATTTCTAAAGGGCATCCAGTTTGATAGTTCGGCAATAACAAGTGAGCACGTGTAAAGTGTGTGAATTTTTTTGTAAATATTTTAAAGGTAAGATTTTTTTGCGTACACTTTTTGGTGTCTTTTACAAAACGCTACATACAACTCTTGTTTTAGAAGTTAACTTTTTTATTTTTATTTTGTATTGTAGCAAAGTAGAAATGCCAAACAAATGCCGAAAGATATTTACATTTAACAGTATTTCTGAAAAATAACGTTTAAAAAATTCAAAAGCAATGTGTCATAAAACGTTCATTATATGTGACAATATTTATCATTTGTTTTATTATGTTATCCATTGTAGCAGTGGTATGTTTATAAATCCTCAGGGTTTCTACAGACATATTGTTTTAAAAACAGAATTATTATTGAGATGTAAAAATTATATGTACACGTCATTTAAGTAAAATAAATAGATTAATGTTATAGGTATAAAATATCAAAGTCATTTCAGACCGAACAAATAAAATATAAATAATTTAAAACACGATTAAGAATATTGGGGTTATGTTAGGATATAGATATCAACAGATCTGTTGTTAGTGTAGTGCGGTGTTGTTTTTCACTTTTAATGTTTATAGGTACTTTCAACGTAAAGTCATTTATAAGTGTTTAAATATAGGTGTATAAAATAGGTTTACTTGTTAATTTAGGCACTGTACTTCCTTGTTTTTATTTTGTTCAAAGATTTCATATGCTTCCATGAGTGTTAGTTTGAGATTTTTTTCTTGTATGTGCTTAATGTTTGTGTTTGTTTTTATGTTAAAGTGCTGTCCTGTTTCTTTTTTGGCAACCATTTAAACTGTAAAAGTGGGAAAAACATATATTAAATTATAAATCAACCAAGGAATTTGGTAAATAATTGTATATTAAATATTAATAACTAAATAAAAAAGTTAAATAAGGAGGAAGTTAATATAATTATGCTGACAAAATTATACAAAATAACAACAAAACAAGTTAGCAAGAAACCTTACAGAAATTAAAGAAAAAATAAGCCCAGAAAATTTGTTGGTAGGAATTGGAGAAGTAAAAAAAGAGATGGAGGGTGTTAATAAGTTGTTTTACCAATGAATCCAAAGAAAAATTAGTGAAGTGCAGGAGGAGTTTGGAAATAAGTAAAAAATAGAGAAGGTGACCTCTAAAAAGCCAAAACAAATTATATGTGGTCTTGAGGAGAAAATAATCAATAAAGAAGACAATGAAACTTTACATATGATAAAAGAACAAAACAGCTTAGAAATTAAAGAAAATGTGAACATGAATTGAAAATACAAAAAATAAAAAAAGGCAAAATTATGGAAATTTAATAATTTAAGTCCAACCTATTATATTTAAAAATATTATTGCAAATGGTACATTAAATTAGGGGTGGAAAGAATATAACGTTTATGAATACTACTAGTAATGATGTAAATATTTGTTTAAATTTCTTTTAAGAAATATTAAATTACATGTTTTCTTTATATGTTCCTAAGAGTGTCCACATTTTCTAAATTTGGAAAACAAAATTGAAAAAGTTTAGAACAAGTTTCTTCGTTTTTGTGCTTAAAAGTTGAATGTGAGTACAGATAACCTAGACTATATGTTTTTAAGAGATTTAATTGACTTAAAATTACTTTCTGATAGAAGAACTGAACATGGTGTGATTTTTCTGTAAAAACTTTTAAATAATTTAATAAACAGTCGTGAGCTGCTTCAAATGATACATTTTAATATTCCTTAAATACTAACGAGGCAAACACATTTGTTTTACTTAAGAACACAAAGAACAGAATATGCTAAATTTAAGGTACGGTTCCTTTGAAACGGCGGACGCATGCGTCTGACGCTCTGCGGAGCGTCGGCCGCATGCGTCTGACGCTCTGCGGAGCGTCGGCCGCATGCGTCCGCATTTTTATATTTTCTCTCGTACGTCAGCCGTGTGCGATCTTTGGTTGAAAAGTGTCCGCATCACTGTGTGGTTCTTTTATGATAAAATTAAAATTTGTCATGGATAATATAAACGATATCTTATTGTACCTATTATTGGAAGAAATCGAAGAAGAGGAGGAAACAGTGTTTATGCAACTGAACGATGACGAAAAAAAAATTGCTGAAGTCCATCCAATGTTTAAAAGAAGAACTGAAGAGGGTTTTTTTAACATCTTGATAAATGAACATTTATTAAAAGATCAGAAAAAATTTCGAGAATTTTTTAGACTGAACATTGCACAATTTAATTATATTTTAGATATAATAAAAGAAGATTTAAGAAAAAATTCGACAAATAAATATCCCTATCCTATAACCCCGGATGAAAAATTAGCGATATTTGAGTCGTATTGGTAATAGGTATGTTGGTAATAGGTGAGTTATTACGTTTTTCCAAATCAATAACCATTTTTAAGGTTTGCAATTTGGCTTCGTTTTGGATATCCCGATTAAGTTTTTTCACGGACATAGCAATACTTTTAAAAAACATATCTATTTCATCATCATTTTTTACCAATGCATTTATGATTTTGCCTCGATATTTTTGCCTCTCCTCCATAATTTTAGTAAAGTTGTCATTAAACTTTTGTTTCTTACTTCTCTGGGAATCTAAACTATTATTTGGAGGATTCCGTTTTGAAGTAAAACTAGGTACTTAAGAGGTGACTTCTGTATCATCCAACATCTGATGTGAATCTTGGGTTTCTTCAATCATTTCAAAATTTTCAGAAGCAGCAGTTTCCTCTTCATGTTGACTTTCTCTTTGTTCAATGTTTGAAATGCTTCTGCAATAAAAAGTGCACTATTTATTATATATAATCAAAAATCTATTAATGTACTTACAATCGTTTATGAAACAGTTTCTAGAAAAGATAACATTTCAAACAAGGGCCAAGGCTTTGATTTAGTGGTTGCAGAACCAGTTGCTCCCTTTCCTTTTTTTTTCTTTTTATATAAGTGTCCTTAATGTTTCTTACAATCTTCCACTGCAAAAAATTTGAACATTAATTTGAATAGTAAATTATGTTATTTATATTTTTTTTTACTAACAGATAGGTAACAAATATTATTAAATGAATTTTTTTCAGGTTCATGGCAACCGGCGAATCATATCACTCACTGGCATTTGCTTTTAGAATATCCCATAGTTATATAAGCAGAATTATACAAACAACAGTTTCAGTTTTACGCCAGAAATTAATGCCAATCTTTTTACCACCAGTGACACAAGAAGACTTGCAAAAGAAAGAAATTTGAAGAAAAATGGCATTTTCCTAATTGTTGCTGAGCTATAGATGGTAAACATATACGAATTTTTTGTCCTATGCGAACTGGATCATTGTATTTTAACTACAAAAATTTTTTCTCCATGGTATTACTCGCAGTTGTTGATGCTAACTACAAATTCATATTAATCGATGTTGGATCATATGGTAAAGAAGGGGACAGTGGAATCTTTGACAAGAGCAATATTGGAAAATATTTTAGAAGTGGAAATATGTTTCCACCATCTTGTAGCCTACCAAACTCAGACATTGAGGAACCCTTTGTTTTAGTGGGTGATGAAGCATTCCGATTACATACACATATGATGAAACCCTTTTCCAGACCAACTGCAAGTGCTAGTAAACAAAAAGCTATTTTTAATTATCGACTTTCCAGGGCCAGGAGAGTTTCTAAAAATTCATTTGGCTTACTGTCTCAAATTTTTCGTATATTTTACACGCCCATTGCTTTGAAGCCAGATACAACTGATGATTTAATTATTGTAGCATGCTGTCTACATAATTTACTTAGAGATGCATATTTAGAAGCTCAACATAAGCCTTACTATGAATTTGATCCTTCTGAGCTACCACCATCTGACAATTTTATTCCTTTGCCTAGAACGGGAGGTTTTGCAAATATTGATGGATTTTCTGTAAGAGATTTATTTATGAATTACTTTAATGGGGACGATGGATTTGTTGTGTGGCAAAATGAATATATTTCTAAAACTGCCTAGAAATATATCTACATCTTAATACCTTTAAATAAATTATAATAAAATTTAAATAACGTGTTTAATTTATAATAGTTTATTTATTATACCTTACCTGATCTTTTTAAATATTCAGCAACCTCTTTCCATGCATTATCCTTAACTACTTGGTTTTTGTACGAGGAATTTTCCAAGTCAAATAAACAAGGGAACTTGGATACATATTCCACTAATTTTTCGTCTTCAGTAAATGAAAATATTACTTTTGCTGGGTTATCGGCCATAATGTATAAATATATATAATATATTCACAAACACAAATCACTCACAAAGTACAAAACGCTGGACCTTTTGCTGCGGCTGCGTCTAGACTGCTTTCGAAGAGGTACTGACGCAACCACTGGTCCTGCTCTGCGTCAGACGCTCGAAACGCATAGCGGCAGACGCACGAAAGGAACCCATTACATTTAATTTTCATTGTGGCAGGGACTTGCGTCAGACGCAGAGCGTCAGCCGCATGCGTCGGCCGTTTCAAAGGAACCGTACCTTTATGCCACTAAATCGAATAAGTGCGAATGCAAATAAGCTAGAAATAGATTTTAGAATTTTTTTTACCGAACTTTTAAACATAAACTGAAAAGTAAAGTTTAACGTGACGTAATATATATGTGTATATGTATTTTGCATTTGGTTAAATTTTTGTATATACATATATTGTGAATCGGTCATACCGGTATAAAAATATGTTGGTATCTGTGCGATCATGATATAAACATATCATTATTAGCCGGGCATGGTAAAAGGTATGCCTACGCTCATCTTTATCTTTCGTCTTTTTTATTTTCTGACGGCATCTAGTGACAAAAGTCCGTTGGCCCTGCACGTGCCTAATATGAGTTTTGGTTTAGTTTCTTTGTAAACAGTGTTTTTATATGTGGTAAATAAGTTATTTAGATATTTTTCGTGTATCTTTTAATACTATAAATAATGGTTTAATAATTTATTAAAAATAACAGTAATGCTTGGTTATGGGCAAACATAAAATTGGATTCGTCAAGAAATAGCTTCCTACTTCAATCTACAAAATGCCAACGAGTACACAGGCCATTGTATCAGACAAAATTCAGCTACTTTATTAGTGGATAATGGGGGAGACATTTCTGCCTTAAAAAAGCAGGCGATCAGGGTTGGCGATCTACAACCGTCGCAGAAGGATATTGAGAAATACTTAGAAAACAAAAGACAAACAGCCATAAACATATTACAACCCAATAACCCCGGACCGTCTAATAAAATAAATAGTACAATTTGTCAGACAGAATCTGACTGTCTATGTGATGTCACTTATATTACAAATAATGAAGTAGTAATTTCTATGCACCACTTAAATGGTCCATCAAGATTTAATAATTGTACCATTAGTAATTGTACATTTAATGTATCAAAAGTTTTACAAAAATTATGACGTTTATTGCAAAAATAATAAAATAAAATATTCTTACAAAATAAAGCAAGCAACTTGACATAAATAAATACATTTGGCATCAGTACATAATTCTGAAATTATGGCGAATAACAATAGAGGTCAAGGAAGAAAATTAGATTTCAGTTGGGCAGACGTTAACAAAATTGAAATGGAAGAAAAGCTTAAAGCCGAATGTAAACATTGTAAAATTTAAATTAGCAGCAAAATTAATAGAATAAAAGCACACTTGCATAAATGTGCGTTGCTAACTAAAAAAAGAGTGGCTGAACGAGCTTACGGGGACATCAACAGAATGAGTGAAATAGAAAGTTTTAGTAGTGGTGGTAGCAGCAGTTTTTTTGAAGGAAGTGCATTAACGAGTGTACCTATTAAAAAAAAAGACAGGCAGGTACGATAAAATCATTAAATCATTATACTATATTCTATATTTAAGAATTAATTACGTCAATTCAAGTAAGTTAAAATTTTAAAATTTAACCAACGCTAACTAATTTTTGTTTTTATAATTTCCTTTAATTTTGATATTGGATTCAATCTAAAGGGTGTCCCATTAAGACCGCCTATTTTAAATCTAGTGTCATTTTTTTGTGTCAATCGTACAGCGTTGTTGTTGGACAGTGGTCATGTGTGAAAATTGAGGTTAAGTCATGGAGATTTACACGGACGCACAACGCATAGAAATTGTAAAAATCCACTATCGAAATGGTGAGAATTTTTCGGAAACGGTTTGAATATATCGTGGATTTTTCGGTCATCATAACGCACCTACTCGGGGGACTGTGGTCCGATTAATCGAGCAATTTGAAACGATTGGGTCAATTCAAACCAAAAAGAGACATGTCCGTGTTCGTGCAGCTAGGTCTGCTGAAAATATTGCAGCAGTTAGTAAAAGTGTTGAACATAATTCTTCCACCTCGATTCGCCACCGTTCCCAGCAATTGAGACTCTCGAAGCAGTTTACAGCGCCAAAGACCTGCATTTTCATGCGTACAAGATTCGGTTTACACAATATTTAAAGACAGCAGACCATGCACAGCAGCGAAACCATGAAATTATTCAGGAGAAAATTTGAAGGCCGAGTTATCTCGCGCCGCGAGGATGTGATGTGGCCAGGCCGATCATGCGATTTGACGCCGTTAGATTTATTTCTTTGGAGTTTTTTGAAGGAAAAGATTTATGCTAATAACCCAAGAACAGTTCCTAAACTAAAACATGAGATTCGACGGGTCATTGATGAAATTGAGCCGGCACTATGCCAAAATGTAATCGAAAATTTTGTCAAAAGAATCAACGTGTGCCGTCAGTCAAGAGGCAGCCATTTATCGGATATTCTATTCCATATTTAACCTCCATGTCTTCCCTCTTTATTGCAATATAAATATCCTAACTTTTTAAATAAACACGGCATTTTTTTAAAGTTTTATATAGGCGGTCTTAATGGGACACCCTTTATATGTATAGGGTGGTCCAACTTTATTTGGCAAAACTTTAAAAATCAATAGAAAATGTCAAAATAACTAATAGAGAGACTTGTCGTAAATCGAATTATCAAAATCCTAAAAGGGTGTCAAAGTTTGTCAATTATTGCTGTGAAGTGTTTTCGCCTATTTTTATGAAACTTCCAGTGGCGTGGCAGAAATTTACCTAAATGAAAATATCAATTTACGCTACTGACTATGCCCAAACTAACCAAAACTTTGACATCCTGTATATCTTTATATTTTCTACCCATCCTGTCTAGTATAATAAGAAGAAAATTCAAAAAATGCAACAAACACTATTAATTTTTTGTAAATTGTTTTAGGTATTGAAAGCGTTCTTGTGCAGACTTCCGCAAGTGAAAAGCAGAAATTGAATATTAAAATAGCCAAATTTTTTTTATGGCTGTAACATAGCATTCGATATAGCTGATAACAAATTATTCAAGGACATGATCTGCGCACTGAGACCTGCATATGATCCACCTAGCCGCCAGAAAGTATCAGGAGAGCTGTTAGATGCCGTTTATAAGGAAATAGAAGAAATCATGAAAAGTAAGCTTAGTCCTGAAGACGTTAGCTTTACAATGATGCATACTGATACAATACTATACAATGATACTGGCGAACATAGTATATTGATTGACGCTGTGGATCCTTCTGATGAAAAAAAACTGCTTTGTATTGTTCCGAAACAGCTAAGGAAAATATTGAATATATTAAAGAAACTAAAGATGTTTTTGCTATATGCACCGATAATGAGGCATATGGGTGTTCCTCTCATTTCATGAATTTATTAGAAAAAAAGGGGTTACACTCAAAACAGTTACCAAGCACATCATTAAGGTCCATAAATATTTTATAAATAAACATTTACCACATGGGTGGCTTAAAGAAAAAAAGGGTCTAATGCCTCAGCTACCCAATGAAACCCATTGGAAATCACATGAAGCCTGGCAACTATCACATTTATGTTGATGTGTTTTTGCAAATGCATATATATATATATATATATATATATATATATGCATTTGCAAAAACAACAGCTCTAAACAGATTTCAAACCGATTCTGTAAACATTTCTGATGCAGTAGAAGTATTGAAATATTTCCTCGACCATAATTTGTTACAGACATACAGACAAGAAATAAAAAAGATATGACTTTGCCATTCAACCATTTCACCTTTTTGCAAATACTATGGATCCCAAATACATGGGAAGACGACTTACAGGGGAAGAAGAGGAAACAGTGGGATGCATCAAATCATTCTGATGAGTCTTTGGCAGTGATGTTATCGTTCAATATTAAGGATATAGATATGTTCCCTGCAACACTTTTCAAAGAAGAACTTGTCAAAAAATTTTCAACAACGAAATGGTGGAAGCTAATATCAATAAAAAATAAAAAAAAACAAATAAAATACCAGATGAATTTTGTACTTATATGTTATCTTTGCTCTCCTGTCCAGCTTAATCTGCATCTATTATAGTTATAAATATTTATATTAATTAATTAAATAATTAATATTATATCATATTAAGTTTTAAAATATACATATAGTTTCATATTGAAAACTTTGACAGCCGTGCGGGCCAGGTTAATATAAATTTAAAAAACTGTAAATTGGCGGGATTTTTAAAATATTTAATTCAACAGACTATCATAAAAAATTGAAATAAAACAAAATATGGGCCACCCTAGTGTAGCATAACTAAAAAAAATAGTTTAGCTCATCAGAAGTTTCTCGAGCTTCAAGGCCACGAATTGTTTTATGGACAACGAAAAAAGTATTATAGAAGAGGACGTACTTTATGATTTTATTAGAGCTACTTTTCCCAACACCACTTTGGTTGTGGCTACATATCGGAATGTTGGCGGTAATAGGCAAAAATTTAATTGTTAAATATTTTTAAAATTTGCGTTTTTAAAGATACAACGGACTTCAACAGCACAGTTTTAATTATAATTATAATTAATAAGAATCCCAAAATATAGACTTTCCAAAGTGTCGGGAAAATCACTTAACATTAAATTATATAACGTATTACCTTCAAGATGCAAGGCTCTCAACTATGGAAAATTTAAGGCAACCATAAAGAAAACCTTGCTAAAAATATTAAATGTAAACATAATTTGGTTAAATAAATGATTTGATTTGATTTGAAGATTGGAGTGTAGTATCCAAGGGATTAAAATAACAATTTTATATTTTCAATTTTGTATTTTATAAATTTATTTTAGATTGCAAATAATTAGGACAGCTCAGCAAGTTTGCGGGGTCACAGTTCGCTAACATTAAGTAGGTTAAGAAACATATAATATTGTGGTTCCTGTAACCTTAATAGAAGTTAAAAGTACAATAAAAAATATAAAAAACTCAGGTAGTACCGACATATTCAACATAAATTCTAAATTGATTAAGGAATCAGCTGACATATTAGACCCCCCTTGGTTAATTTATTTAACAAATGTATAATCGAAGGTGTTTTTCCAGCTAGTTTTAAAACTTCCAAAATCACCCTCATTTTTAAAAAAGGAAATAGGTATGCTGTCGGCGATTACCGTCCTATCTCCATTATTCCATACTTTG